ACCCTCACAGCAATCTTATCCAATAGCTACTATCATTCCAGTTTTACACTTGAGGAAATTGAAGTGTAGAGAGAGTAAGTAATTTTCTCAAGATTACACAGCTAGAAACTGGTTGAACCAAGACTACCCTCCTGTGTGATAACAGGGACTGCACATTGTCCTGTTTGACAGTATGCTGATTGCACGACTGCATTTCGAAAGCCTTCAAAAAGTGCACACCCTTTGGCCCACTTCTGAAAAAGTCATCTTAGATGTGTACAGAGGTCCCGGCAGCATTTCTATAATAGCACATAATTTAGAAACAACTCAAAGGTTCAACGATATAGGGTTGGTTAAATTGTGGGTCATTTAGAACTAGAAATCTATGTAACTTTGTTTGTTTGTTTGTTTTTGTTTTTGAGACACAGTCTCGCACTGTCGCCTGGGCTGGAGTGCAATGACAGGATCTCAGCTCACTGCAACCTCCACCTCCCAGGTTCAAGCGATTCTCCTGCCTCAACCTCCCAAGTAGCTAGGATTACAGGTGCATGCCACCATGCCAGGCTAATTTTTTGTGTTTTTAGTAGAGACAGAGCTTCACTGTTGGCCAGGCTGGTCTCGAACTTCTGACCTTATGATCCACCCACCTTGGCCTCCCAAAGTGCTGGGATTACAGGCGTGAGCCACCACGCCCAGCCTCATGACTATTAAAGTGATCATGTAAAAAAATTGATGTCCATGAACTACCATGTAGAAGAAGCAAAATTACAATACTTGTAATGACAAATATTACAGCATGGTCCTGTTTTGCAAAAACTACAGTATGTAAATTGAAGTATAAAACTAACATGCAGAGAGGACCACTTGTGGCCAGGAGTTTGAGACCAGCCTGGCCAACATAGTGAGACCCCCCCATCTCTATAAAAAATAAAAAAATTAGCCCAGAGTGGTGGCATGTGCTTCTAGTCTCAGCTGCTCAGGAGGCTGAAGTGGGAAGGTCACTTGAGCCCAGGAGTTGAAGGGTGCAGTGAGCTAGGATGGTGCCACTGCACTATTCCAGCCTGGGTGACAGAGCAATATCCTGTCCAAAAAATAAATAAAAAATACAACTAGTGTGTATTGGAAAGGTAGAATTAAAAATGTTGACAGTGGTTATTCCTGTGATGGGACTACAGTCAATTTTTATTTTCTCTATTTTTTAAGGATCTGAATTTTCAAAGGTTTCTACCAGGAGCATGTATTTCTTTTGGGAAAAGTTTTTTTAAAACAAGTGAAGAGGTGTTGGAAACTTCCCATTTATTATGTTGTTATCTATTTTAGAAACAAACGTACTACTCTGCTGAGAATGTTTTGAAAATATTTTTTTCCTATTACAAAAGCAATATGTACTTGCCAAAAAAGACAATCAGAAAGTACAGACAAGCAAAAAGAAGAAAATAAAAACACATTCCCTCCCACCCAGGAACAGCCAATATTAGCACCTTCATGACTCTTCATAAACTATGGTTTTTGTTTTGTTTTGGTTTTTGTTTTTTTTTTTTAAGAGATAGTGTCTCACTATGCTGGCCAGGTTGGTCTTGAACTCCTGGCCTCAAGTGATCCTCCCACCTCAGCCTCCCACAGTGCTGGGATGAGCCACCAAGCCTGGTCCACGTTTTTTTTTTTTGTTTTGTTTTGTTTTGTTTTAAGATAGTTTCAACCTTCAAGTTCTGCTGCAGGGGTTACTCAGGGCCCACCCTGTTGCCATCACTGGAAATATGAGTTTGGACGGAGGTTTGCAGAGTCCTCTGTGATCCCCAGTTCCTAAGATGGTTTTCCTAAGATGGGGCTGTGTTTGGGATCCCCAAATCACGGCTAGTGGTAACAGTGGTAGACACCCTGGCCCTGGCCTGTTTCGGAGCACAAAACTCCTCATGTGTCATGGGGGCCCGGAGCTGTCAAGTATGAGGACCTTAAGAGTAATTCCTCACACGTTTGGGATTGCGACACCCTATCACTGTTTGATTTTGCAACTCTCCTTCCCCTTTCAAAAAGAACTGAAGGAATACATGCAGCATTTGCATATTCCGTTGAGTACTTTTCCACACACGGAGTTGAAGGGAATTAAGATTAATTCGGCTGCAAGACTACCATAACCCTCCTTCCCCCACCCCTCAGATAATTGCAGGCAATCAGTCAGTCTTCAGTTGGAGTGAAGGATGGCAGCTTTGAGGAGCCATGAAGGCAAGTTCTGCCATGAGGAAGGCCACCCCAGGCCTGGGAGTCCATGTTCCAGGGCCAGATATCCCTGGGCCATTCTGACACTCCCCTAAACCCCACGCACACACAACAAGAGGTTTCCAAGGCCCACCCGCACCCTCTCTACTAAAGTCTCCCCTCCTGGGAAGGAGAGCAGGAGAGGCCTCCAGCTCCTGGCATCCCGCCCCAGTGGGTCCACGCCCTCAGCACAGCCCTGGAGCAGAAAATGTTCTTAGAGCTGATGTGCAAGTTGGACTGTTTCTGTTTCCTCAAATGGGGTGATATTTACTCCTGGCGCAGACCCAGGCCCACCCTCTCACCAAGCTCCACAAGTTGAGCTGGTCTCGTTGCTATTTGATATGTTCAATCTTTCTGGAAACTTCAATGACCTTGGAAACTCTATTCTCCTTTACATGTGACTCCTCTTGTCCATAATAATAACTATAGTTTCTCTTTATTACGCTCCTTCTGTGCCAGGCACATTACAAACATGCAATACCTACAACAGTCTTTTGAAATAGACACAATTGGCCGGGCGCGGTGGCTCACGCCTGTAATCCCAGCACTTTGGGAGGCCGAGGCGGGCGGATCACAAGGTCAGGAGATCGAGACCATGGTGAAACCCTGTCTCTACTAAAAATAGAAAAAATTAGCCGAGCGCCGGGCGCCTGTAGTCCCAGCTACTCGGGAGGCTGAGGCAGGAGAATGGCGTGAACCCGGGAGGCGGAGCTTGCAGTAAGCCGAGATTGCGCCACTGCACTCCAGCCTGGGTGACAGAGTGAGACTCCCTCTCAAAAAAAAAAAAAAGAAATAGACACACTTATTCCCATTTCACAGATAAGAACATTGAGGTTCCGAGAAGTTATCTGTGCAAAGTCACACAACTACCGACAGAGATAGGAGTCAACCCAGACCTGCCTGACCCCGAAGCTTATGCACTGCCCTGAAAGGTCACAGGAACCAAGAGCACATATAATCAACCCCCATTCCATTGACAAGACAGCTAAGCTGGAAAATTCATTTACCAACAGTTACATGGTACTTATGAGGTGCAAGATGCTGCTTTAGCACTTTACAAATACCAACTAATTCACCCTCATTGTATCACTATGAGATGGATACTTTTTTTTTTTTAGAGACAGAGTCTGCTCAGTCACCCAGGCTGGACTACAGTGACGCGATCTTGGCTCACTGCTACCTCTGCCTCCTGAGTTCAAGCGATTCTCTTGCCTCAGCCTCCAGAGTAGCTGGGACTACAGGCGCGTGCCACCACATGCGGCTGATTTTGGTATTTATAGTAGAGATGGGGTTTCACCATGTTGTCCAGGCTGGTCTCGAGCTCCTGACCTCTGGTGATCTTCCCACCTTGGCCCACCAAAGTGCTGGGATTACAGGCAGGAGCCACCACGCCCAGCCTTTTTTTTACAGATGAGAAAACTGAGGCACAGAGAGAAGAGTAAACTTGTCCAGGGACACACAGCAAGTGGTAGAGTCTGGATATGAAGTTAACCTTAGAGTTGCATCTTCTATCCCGGAAACAGAGGCCCATCTCTCCTAAGTCTTTGTCCTTTGACCTGTCTACACTACCGCCACTCTCCTCATCTTTCTGAGAGTCCTCTTCAAATTTCAGACTTCCTCATCCCACTCTGGGTGATGTTACTGTTCTCTTGTGAAATTGCTTTGTGAAACGACTTATTGTGCAAGGCCATATTTGATTAGATCACTATCCAGAGTCCCTAAAGAACTAAGAGTTCTTTAGGAAGGTTTATCGAAGCAAAAGCTCAGGGTTGTTTCTGTGGAAACTAATCAATCAATTCAATAAACAAGGGCTTATTGAGAGCAGTTTGTGTCCCCAGCCCTGTGCTAGGCACCCTGGGGTCTGTGAACAAAAAAGACGTACAGACTTGGACCCCAATAAAGAAACACAGTATATAAGTGCACACTGGGTGCGGAACCTGTGTACAGCCATATTTCAAAAGACGTATAGGATGGCTGGACGCAGTGGCTCATGCCTGTAACCCCAGCACTTTGGGAGGCCAAGGCGGGTGAATCACTTGAGGTCAGGAGTTCGAGACCAGCCTGACAAACATGATGAAACCCCGTCTCTACTAAAAATACAAAAAATCAGCCAGGCATGGTGGCGGGTGGCTGTAATCCCAGCTACTCAGGAGGCTGAGGCAGAATTGCTTGAACCCGGGAGGCGGAGGTTGCAGTGAGCGGAGATTGCGACACTGCACTCCAGCCTGGGTGACACAGTGAGACTCCAGCTCAAAAATAAAAAACAAAAAAGATGCATAGGAAAGGAAAGTCAGGAAAAGTGTTTAGGCAAGGGGTGGAATTTGAAATAGGCTATTTCTTTTTTTTTTTTTTTTTTTGAGACAGTCTCACTTTGTCACCCAAGCTGAAGTGCAGTGGCCTGATATCAGCTCACTGCAACCTCCATCTCCTGGGTTCAAGTGATTCTCCTGCCTCAGCTTCCCGACTAGCTGGGATTACAGGCATCTGCCCCCTTGCCCAGCTAAATTCTTTTTGAGCAGAGACAGGGTTTCAACATGTTGGCCAGGCTAGTCTCAAACGCCTGACCTCAAGTGATCCGTCTGCCTCAGCTTCCCAAAGTGCTGGGGTTACAGGGGTGAGCCACCGCACCTGACCTGAATTTGAAAGAAGGGGCAGGGTTCGGATAGCAGGAAGAGAAAGAGCAGACTTCGCAGCAGAAGCAACAGGCATGTTTTCTGCATCCAAATCGACCAGATCCTCAGAAAGAAACCAAAGAGAGAAAAGGCTACAATGGCTCGTGTGTTTTGGTTTGGCTTGGGGTTGTCAAGTTTTGCTTGTTCCACCGGAATGAATACAGAAAAACTCCCTTACTGGCAGCACCGCGAGGAGGCTTCTGGATGAGAAGGGCGCGTTGCCTCACATGTGCACTAGGAGGCAGAGCTGCCGCGGGGCTGCTGTAACTCCCAAGAACAACCAGGGAGCAAGGGGAAGGATCCCAGCCCCTTCCTCAAATCCGCGGGCTGCAGGGCGAGAGGGCAGTTGGAAAGCAGCCGTCTTCTTAGTCCGAGTTGCCTTCATTTTCAGCCTAGAAGTTAGGGAAGAAACACCCCCAGTTAAGAGGAAGTTGAGTGAGACTGAAAGGGGAAAGACAAAGAGAGCAGCATTAAAGAGGCACTCTTCCCCATCCCAGCAAGGAACCTCCGTGTGCCTGGAGAAGACTTCCAAACAGCAGAAAAGGGTTAGGGCTACTCATGCGTCCTGCTGTAGTCTTGGCTGAGAAAAGTTTAATGCAAGGCTTGGGTAACTGTGAAAAGTGACCAACTGCTAGACGAAGACTAGTTTCAGAACAGCCAACTCCTGTTCCCTGGACAGGGGTGACCATTCCAGCCCTCTAAGGAGGAGTGCTTGAGGCTTTAGGAAGTACACCATTATTGGCCATCCCCCTAGGCCCTGGCGTCATGGTGAGGGCTGCGTGTGGCAGCAGACGTGACAATGGCATTCTTTAAGAGCCCTGAAGTCAATATTTAGCCTAAATGTACAACCCACCAGCTGAGCCAGGCAACAGGGTTCTGAAGCACAGGAAGTGAGAAGCACCTAGGCGATGTGGAACACTATTTGAAGCTAGATAGCCTGACTTTTATCAGTTTCTAACTAGCTGTGCAAGTTTGGATGGTTGAACCAACTTCTCTGAGCTTTAATTTCCCTGTTGGCGAAATAGGTTAAATTAGATTAAGTCTCCGATGTGCCTTCCAGCTCTGAAACTCTAGAAAACACACACTCCTTCAGCCAGAGGAACTGGGGAATCTAGGGGGCAGGAATGGGGGTGGGAGGATGGTGACAGGCATCTTGAAGGATTAACTCCACGCTTCTCCTCGCAATTGCAATCGGCTCCCCAGCAGTGACCACTGCGGCACTGCCTGCCCCACCCCCGCCCTCCGGGCCCGGCGGTACACACCCACGGCTCCCTCAGAGACTTCTGGAATCTCGCTGGATTTCTCCCAGGAATGCTTATTGCCCTTTAGATCTGCAAATCGCTTTACATCAGCAACGCTGCCGCGCGATTATTAATCATCGCAATATTCTTCCCCATCCCCTACCCTCCCCGCCCCCGCCCCCCGGCCTGGAAGAGGAATTGCAGGGGTCCGGATTTATGAACGTGATTCGTATTATTCATTCAATAATCAGTTAACTAAAGTTCATTAAGCGCCTAATAGGAGCAAGGTGCAGAGACACACAAATCCAGTCACCACAGGGGGCAGAACTGTAGGGGTCCATGCTCAAAGAACTTCACTGATATTCCAGTTATGTCCTGGGGAGGGGGTGGTTAGAGGGTGATGGAAAAGCTCCCCTCACAAGTCTGATGACAAGGCTGCAACCATTATGGACCACCCCCACGGTTCATTTTATCAGGCCAGGAAAAGGCAAGTGGCCTTCCCAAGGTCACTTATCCCCCGAGGGGCAACGCTGACCCCAGAACCGCGGTCTTCAAAGCTTTCCACTGCGCCATGAAGGAAAATTTTGAGTTGAAGCCTATAAAATACAGCGTTGGGCGAGGGATGGCATGATTTCCGGGCACAGAGTGAGAAAATCGTGATCCCAGATTACCCACCCACAACAAACGAGACAGCCCCAAATCTTGACTGCAGCCTCAACCAGCAGACGCACAGGAATGCTGGAAACAGCTCATCCATCAATCGCGGCGTCCTCTCTCTGGGCCCCCAGCGCCCCAGCCCTCGCCTCCGCCCAGGTGGGTCCCGGGGCTGGGGGCGGGGGTCTCGTGGCTCGGAGCCTCTGCCCAGCATTCCAGGGGGCGGGGCAGGAACCGGGGGCGGGGCGCGGTGGGAGTCCCGCCCTCAGCCTACCCCGGGCCGGCTGCGCAGTGGCTGAGCCAAATATGGGCAGAGCGGAAGCGGAGGGCCGACGTCAAGGCGCCGGGTGGGGGCCGCGCTGCGGGGCGGTGACGGGAGTAGCTGTCGGCGCCTACGTGTCACCGTGGAAACCAAACAGTAAACAGAGGATTCGCGAGCTCCTGGCACCGCCTGGCCCTGCGACCTGGCCTGGAGCGAAGGGCCGGAAGCTGGGAAGGGCCAGGAGAAACTTTGGCCTGGCGGACGAGGACAGGAGCGCGGCAAGGGTGTAGAGAGGGCGGTGAAGGGGACGCTGAGAGAGCACTCCCAAACGTCCCTCCCTGAGGTTCCTTGAAGCCGGCGCTGCCTCTGCCCAGGGGCCAGCAAGGGCTGGTCAGGAACGGAAGGAAGCCCTCCTGTCCCTACTTTTTCTTTTACTTTTTTTTTTTTTTTTTTTTTTGAGATGGACTCTCGCTCGATCGCCCAGGCTGGAGTGCACTGGCGCGATCTTGGCTCACTGCAACCTCCGCCTCCCGGGTTCAAGCGATTTTCCCGCCTCAGGCTCCCAAGTAGCTGGAACTACAGGTGCGCGTCACCGTACCCGGCTAATTTTTTACATTTTTAGTAGAGACGGAATTTCACCACGTTGGCCAGGTTGGTCTCGAACTCCGTACCTCAGGTGATCCGCCCGCCTCGGCCTCTCAAAGTGCCGGGATTACCGCGCCCGGCCTCTCCTGTCCCTTCTGAGGGCCTCCCTGCCTGCAAGGTTGTTGGGGATACTGATTTTGCTTTGTTTTTCCTTTATAATGGCTAAGAGTTCAGGCATTGAAGCCACACTGCCTGAACTCAAATTTCAGCGCTGCCACTCCAGTTGGATGATCTTGAGCAGATCTCTGGGTCCCAGACTATATTATTATCTACAAAAATAAGGATAATAGCAGGACCTACCTTTAAGAGTAGATGAGGACTTTTAAAATGAGTGTGTGTGTGTGTGTGTGTGTGTGTGTGTGTGTTTGGAACAGTGTCAAGCATGTTGTGAGCCCCAAGTTAGTGTTGAGTGTTTATTTTTATTTCCAGGCAGCACAAGAGAAACTTACCTAGTATTAGTAGTGCAACTCCTAAATCATACTACTGATGTAATGTTTTTTTCTCGAGTCGTCCTTAGATTTAAAATAAACAAAAGGGGCCAGGCACTGTGGTCCACACCTGTAATCCCAGCACTTTGGGAGGCCAAGGCAGGAGGATCAGTTGAGCCTAGGAGTTCTAGACCAGCCTGGGCAACATAGGGAGACCCCGACTCTACAAAAATAAAATTAAAAAAAATTAGCTGGGCATAATAGCACACACCTGTGATCCCAGCTACTTGGGAGGCTGAGGTGGGAAGATCTTGGGCCAGGGCAGTCGAGGCTGCAGTGAGCCTTGATTGCAGTCACTGCACTCCAGCCTGAGTGACACAGGGAGACCCTCTTTCAAAAATAAATAAAATAAGCAAAAGGAATTATCTATTTTAAAGATAATTTTCAAATCTAGTAAAAATATTTGATGTATTAACTAAAATGTGCATTTGTCAAATAAAAACATGGCAAAGCACTGTATCACACTGCTTCACAGTTTTAAATTTGAAACACAAAAACTCCAAATGGTTACATGGAACAGAAGCAACCCAAATTCAGTCCTCACAGTCATTGTGTTATCTCTGTTTTTTAAGTAATTTTTTAAAATGAAGGGTACATATTACATTATTCAAACTCAATAGTAATCCCAGCAAATGTTTAGAACTTAAAACAACAAAAGATATTTTCAGGAAGAAGTACTTTGTCACTGACAACATTAGAATTGCCAACTCATAGTGTTTATTTAAAAGGCAGACTGCTCAAAGACCTGAAAGGCCCAGAGGTATTCTATGTTCCGACGTGGCTGCTGGAAGCCACCTTTGGTGAGTGTGACCAGTGCTGGCCTGGGTGCCCTACCTGGGAGCTCTCATCCCCTTACCCCAACAGACCCGGATACATAATCCCTTACATCGAACCGATGAGCAAGGCCATGCTCCAACTGAAGGCTCTGGAGTCTTCAGACCTCACCGAGGTCGTGGCTTACAGCTCCTATTGGTACAAGCTCCAAACCAAGTGGTGCTCCAGTCCATGGCTGAGTGGCACTGCCAGCACCAGGAGCAAGCGATGCTCAAACTTGCAGAAGCCATGAATGCCCTCAAACTAGGCCCTTGGACGAAGCAAATCAGCTTCCAGCCAATGATGGAGGCCAGGATGTAGAGATTAGGTTGTGGCCAGAGTCGGAGTCATTCCAGCTCAGTTTAAACTCTGCTCCAGCCTGAGGAATTAAGGGAAAACCATCTGTTTGGGGATCTCTGCCCTTGCTCTGAGTCCTGTTGTGAATATCTTTTTTGAAGGTTGCCAATTAAAGAAGAAAGTTTTGGGGTTTTCTCATTTTTTCTTTATCAAGAATAAAGTTTTAAATAAGGAAAAATGTTCAAAGGCAGACCAACTTTTTTTTGGTTTTATTATTTGTTTGAAATTCTAAGCAGATAATGTGATCTCTTTTTTTTTTTTTTTTTTTGAGTCGGAGTCTCGCTCTGTCACCCAGGCTGGAGTGCAGTGGCCGGATCTCAGCTCACTGGAAGCTCCGCCTCCCGGGTTTACGCCATTCTCCTGCCTCAGCCTCCCCAGTAGCTGGGACTACAGGCGCCCGCCACCTCGCCCGGCTAGTTTTTTGTATATTTTTAGTAGAGACGGGGTTTCACCAGGTTAGCCAGGATGGTCTCGATCTCCTGACTTCGTGATCCGCCCGTCTCGGCCTCCCAAAGTGCTGGGATTACAGGCTTGAGCCACCGCGCCTGGCCTATGTGATCTCTTGTGGATAACAAATCCTAGGGTGACCCATAGTAATTCCTGCTTCCTGATGTCCATGCCTTTGTGTAATTCCCTCCATCTGAGTGCAGGTGGAACCTGAGACTTGCCTCTTAATGCAAAGGTGACGGATGTCTTTGTCTGTGTATGGCCCCATCACATGCACTGGAGAGGTTCTCCTTGCAGGCTTGATTATGTGAGCAGCTATGTTGAAGAAGTTTACAAGGCAGCCTCTAGAACCGAAGGATAACCTTCAGCCAACAGCCAGCAAAACACCGGAGCTCTTAGTAACACAGCCACAAGGAAATAAAGTCTGTGAACAACCTGAGTGAGCTTGGAGGTGGACTCTTCCCCACTTAATTATCCAGCTGAAAACACAGCTCAGCTGACACCTTGATTGCAGCCTTGCGAGACCTTGAACACAATACTGTTCTATTCAGAAGATGGATGGAGTTTGCTAGATAAGCATCTGGCTATACCTGGACTTCTGATTTGCAGAAACTGTGAGATAATAAATGTGTGTTGTTTTAAGCTGCTAAGTTTGTGGTAAATTGTTGTACAGAAATAGAGCACAAATACATTCTCATTGCCTATCCCTAAAACAGACTGCTCCCACCTCCCCATGTTTGGTACACTTCTGTGGCTCTGTACACACTGCTCAGGCCTCCCATCTTAAAAAGGTTCCATGAGAGGATTGCAAGGAGTGTCAACTGCAGAGCCTGCCACAGTGTTGCTACCAGAACATCGAGCATCTAAGAATGATGTGGTGTATGCACGTTAGGGCATTTTCGTAGCAGTCTCCTGATGTCACCAGAGTTTTGAAGATGGAAAGGCAGCTTACAGATTTTCGAATCCCACCCATGATCTGGCATAGGAAACTGTCTCAAAGGGGTTGAAGTCTCACCCCAGGTCACATAAGCACATCTTTAAGGGCAGATGTTCACATTCTAGCAATGCAGTTAAGCACTTTGGGCTTTAGAGTCACAAAGAGCTGGATTCGAATCTCAGATCTGCTGCTTACCAGTTGTGTGACCTTGGTCAGCTTATTTAACCTTTCCTAAATTGTTTTCCTTATCTGTAAAATGATGACACTCATCATATCTGCCTCATGGGATTGTTGTATGGACTAAATGAGAGTGTTTATTAAACAAAATAATTATTGTATGCCCATTATGTGCCAGTTGCTAGAAGTACAATGATTAGCAAATCAGTCATTGATTTAGCATGGCCTGTAAAGTGCATAGCACAACCTGGCAGAGAACAAGCACATGTGAAATACTGGGCATTATCAATATTTTCCTTAGAGCTCCAGGTTCTATCCCAACCATTTGCCTCCAGACAAGCTCTATAAACTCATATCATAGAACCTCTGTTGTGGTTCCAACTGCCCACATCTCCCCCTGGATACTTCCCAGGCATTGTAAACTCAACATGTCCAACATAGAACTTACCTTTTTACCCCCCAAACCTGCTCCTCTTCCTATAGTCACAAAGCCATTGGTAGAACCACAAGCCTCCTGTGTTTCAAGCCTGGTAAACCTGACAGTGAGCTTGGGTTTCTCCCTCTCCCTCACCTCTACCACCCACTCAATCACCAGGTCCTGACCCCCTAATTACCTCTCATTCCCTCTCCATTCCCACCACCACTGCCTTGGTTCAGCCTACACATAACTGAGCTAAGTAAGCACCAGGCTTTTCATGATCTGGCCACAGTGATCTCTTCTTGGCCGATCTTCAGCTCCATCTATTTGCTGCTGCAATATTGATATAAGTGAAATTAAATGCGTTTACGTGATATTCTGTAATTTACATCTCCACCTCGTCATCTCCCCCTCACTGTCCCCTCACACACTTTGTAGTCGAGCAAAACCAAATTCGGTGTTTTATGAGTCTGTGCCCTTGCAGTGCTAATCCTCGGCCTAAAAGAAGCTCTCCACCCTGCCGCTTGCTCATCTAGCAGACTCCATATACCTTCAAAGCCTAGCTGAGAGGTCACCTTCCTCAGAGACTCCCCAAGAGAGAGTTTGTCACTACCTCTTCCATGCAACTCCTAAACCTGGTGTTAATTTCCATTGTTACAGTGTATTATAAGGTTTGTGTTTACCGGTCTTGTCCCTTACTTGGGCTCTTTGAGGACAGGATTGTCTCTTCCTCACGCTGAATTCAATACCTGATACATAGCAGACACCCAGAAAATTTTTAATTAAATGAAATGAAGCCCATATTTGTTCCCCTGACCCCCATCTCCCTAAACTATAAAGATAATAAAAACAGTTAACTCTTATTATTATTATTATTATTATTTTCCCTGAGATGGAGTTTTGCTCTTGTCGCCCAGGCTGGAGTACAGTGGCAGCATCTCAGCTCACTGCAACCTCTACCTCTAGGGTTCAAGTGACTCTCCTGCCTCAGCCTCCTGA